GAAAAGTATCCAAATTGGAGCCTTCCAAATGTTGCAAAAATTCCAAACAAACCCTTAAAATTTTTTGCCCTGTCTACCCAATCCATACAAACTCTTTATTTTAGGTGATATTTGAAAAGCTGTCATTTCGCCATTTTCCTCCTCTAAATACTTCTATTCTTGCTTAAGACTCTCAAATTTAGTTGATCTTTCATTTCAGGGGCGGATCCAGTAATGTTTGATTAGGGGTGTCCAAACCTTGGTTGAGAAAGGACTGTTGAACACCCCCCACACCCCCTCCCACCAGTCGCCGTTGCACGTTAAAATTCCTTGGCCGCTTACCATTTACTTGGATTCATCAAAAAGATCAGCCAGTTAAACAGTGATATACGATCGTGTCGATGTAAGAATTTCACTTCAAAGTTGTAAGCATCAGGTCTGTTAGGGGGGTCCGGACCCCCCGGGCCCTCCCCCTGGATCCACCACTGCATTTGAATATCTTAGTTTTTCAAACAAACGGGAAACAACCACATTCTTTCCCAGTCCTCTCACGTTTCTGCAATGGCCTCCATTGTTATATCCCGACATCAAATCACTATGTACTAACAGAATGTAGCCCTTTGATCTCCTCGGAAAGTTCTCCTTTGTCTTTTTGACTCTTTGAAACATCAAGCAGTCCCCTTCCTACTATGCAACACTAATTATGGGATTCAATTAATAATTCTTCCTTTTGACAGCCATACATTTCCTTGTGAACTGGACTGAAGAATTTGATTGGTGTTTTACAAAGGGACCACCCTCTTACTGATGAGTATGTCCATTCTCATAACTTGTTTGAAGGATAACATATTGAAATTTGAAATCACGAGGACAATTTTTGTTTGTGAGTTTATGGGTTATCAAAATGAATTGTCCACTCAAAGTACTAACAAGACACTTTTAACAATAAATTCCATATTTCAAATTTGTTCTTGGAAGCGAAGTTTGCAAATTGGATTTTGACTTTCGTGGCAAATCACCCAGACATAATGAAATGTTACCTTCAAAAAGCTTCATTTTGTTTCTCAAATTCATAAACTATGACCATGACAGTGTAGATGGGGGAAGGCAGCTCTGTGGTAGATGGGTGAATGATCACCCTTCACTCTTTTCCAATCTGAATTGGATTCCTACACGACTAACAATTCAATTTTTCTAAAATGAACCATAAAACTTTTTCCTTGTCTTCAATAAAATGTGGTTACTTCCTAACAAGAAGTTCACTTATGAAAGATATTTTAGGTGAGGAAAACGCAGTACTTTGGAAAATTTGGAGAGTGATTTGGTGTATTAACACCACAATAATGAGAAAAACTAAGGTAAAAAGTTGGTGACAACAGTGACACAAAGAAAATGATATCAAGGTTAAGAAAGACAGTGATGGCATCAAGAAAATCTGTGGGGGGAGTGGGTATGGGTGGGATTTTAACCCTGACTTTGTGAACTCTGAAACATTAAAGCAAGCCTGGAATCAGGCTTTGGAGATTGCTTAAGTATAACAACAAAAAACAACCTTTTCCAAACCACTCTGATGAAGGGCTAATGCTAGACACATCAGCTTAAGAAACGCTTCATGACGACGGGAGCCTGGTGGTGGCCATTTTAAAATATCAACTCAGTTGATAAAAACAAAAACAAATTGCATTTTTCCGACCGCCGACTCTTGCATTACTTCACTTTCACACTTCCATCTCATCTCCCCCCATTAAAAAAAAAATATGCCAAATCACTGGTTACATTCAAGTCAACTCTTATTTCTGCCAAAATTCTGGAAATGTTTTGAACTTTTCACCTAACATTTAACCGTGATCAAATACTCAATTTAATCATCAGCCAGTAATTACATGGAAACATGCAACTGATGTTTCACATCACAAGAGTTTCAAATAAATTCAAATTTTGTGAGCACCAGTAAGCTCAGGTCGTACATAACAGAGTGACTAAGCTTCTTGTACGATAAAAACATCATCTCAAATCCCTCAATTTTTTTAAAATATTGCTCACTTGAGAACAACTAGTTACTCTGTAGTTGCCAAATCAATATGGTTTCTTGCTGACCAGGCCCTCGTTGTTCAAAGGGTAAATAATGTATGTTTTGTTTACTCTTATCTGCTGGATAGTGATTTATCCATTGGACAGTGATTTATCTGTTGGACAGTGATTTATCTGTTGGATAGTGATTTATCTGTTGGACAGTGATTTATCTGTTGGATAGTGATTTATCTGTTGGATAGTGATTTATCTGTTGGACAGTGATTTATCTCCTGGGCAGCGATTTACCTGTTGGATAGTGATTTATCTGTTGAGCAGTGATTTATCTATTGGACAGTGATTATCTGTTGGATAGTGATTTATCTGTTCGACAGTGTTATCTGCCCTTTGAACAGCTGGGTCTTAATTAGTCCTTTCTACAAATGAAAATAAAAGACAACAGCATAGGAAATCCTGGAATAACAGTTGAAATGATGAAAATTGTTCATTGAATGCTCAACATGCCGAGTGTGGTAATTCATCTAGGTTGTCGTTTCCTTCTGAATCTTCACCACTTCCACTACTCAAACTACCGTCCCTGTAGGTTGCACACCCTGAGAAAGAAAAAAGCAGGCACAAAATGGCTTTTTAATAATTATATTCAAATGATTCCTTTTGAGACCTTGCATGGCAAAGATCAGCACAGTTTACAGCACAGCTTCTGGTTTATATTCCTTGAGGACTGAGAAATATTCCACTTGAAGACATAGACAACAGTACAAAACTACTCCAAGCCATGATCATTTTGTCCCTGTGGCAAAAGAAAATATTTTGGCAGCTAAATTTGCAGCTGATCACACAAAAAATCTTTGAATAGCTTGGATGACATTTAGCTGATAGCTTATTCTTTACATAGCACAAAATACAATCACAAGACACATAGTCTTGATTAACACTATATGACACAATGCTAATTTAAGTTAAAGGACATGTGATTAACACACATTTGATTGTGCAATGATGTAATGATGACAAATTACGTTTTTATCACTTTCACGTATACATGAGGATATGGTGGCCACACCTATCACACTTACCACTTTACCTGGTCGAGCCCAAGTTCTGATGAATCCCTCATGGCAAGCCATGACAATACAATCTTCTCTAAAAGACAACGCTGATAATCTTTCATTTGCCACTTTCTTTGCCACCAAAGGTTCTAAAATGGATATTTCATCCATTCGTGGACACAAAACTGTGCCAGGAGTAACACTTCCAATATTCACAAGATGCTCCACAGACTTACTTAATGAATGTACTTGTGTCAAACTCTTGGGTACATCAAAAGACATTGGTGCGACAGCATTACCACTGCCAGAGTGATTCACCTCATGAACAACAGGTCCATTGGAAACAAAAGATGTTGAAGTACCATGCGAGTTTGAAAGTGTGGCAGTGCGCATGCTCCTTCCACGAGGTCTCTGAGGTTTTAGGACATCATCTCCCAAGTCCCACAACATAAAATTTGTTTCCTGTCCCACGGAACCAAATCTATAAGAAGTCACATTTTTATCCTCAGTAACAGAAGAAGAACCAGATGATGGAACAATCCCATTTTGCTCAATTTCCTCTTCATCACTGTCATCAACGCGGCCTTCCGGACTGACGCTCGTCGTATATGGATCAAAAGCAACTACTTGAACCCAAGAATGGTGTCCGATGCCTCGCGCTATGACTCTCCTCTCCAGGAAAGACCAAACAGTCACAAGGTCATCCTCACCACCTGTGACAATATACTTACCATCTGGACTCCAACAAACACAAATTATCCCTCCAAAGTAACTCTTCATTACACCACACAAAGTCTGCAAATCAAAGTCAAAAATGCGAAGAAATCCATCTTGATTTGCCGTTGCAATGTGTTTACAGTCTGGCGAAAAAGCAAACTCATTTACTGAGCCTTCTCCAATGGTCCATTTACAAACTGGGTTCCGAGGAGTCTTGGATTTTCCACTGTGAATTGAATATCCAGGTCCTTGTTTCATAAGTGCATACTGAGGAGGCCCTATCCCAGGTGGGTGTTCTTTGTTGTAGACAAACATGTTGCCACTTTCATGGGCCACAAGAAACAAATTTTCTGATCCAGGAATCCATTTCAGGCACATAACCTTTGTTTTATCCACCAGTCTCTGAAATAAATTATATAAATAAATGAAATAAAAAAAAAATTTGAAGAAATTTCCTGTCACCTCATATTTCTTTATGTTGAGGATTCATATGGTTAAGACAATTCCAAGGTGTTTTAATTCAATTACTTTTTACATGTACTAACTAAAAAGTAACTTAGAATACAAGAAATTTGAAAAGAATGCTGTTTTAATCTTTGGTTGGTATGTAGGACTGGATATGAGCCCTTCCCACAGTCCTTGTGTTGAGTTGCATATTTTTACCACAATTAGCAGTAAAGTTGTAATCTGATCGGCCAATTGTCATTGTCGATAAGAGCTCAAATGATGCTGCTTGGGTCGATGTGTCATGCTGAAAGAATCGTTTTATTTTGACTGTGGTTTAGCTTGGTCTGTATTATTATTGACATCAACATTTGTCATCACAGTGATCAAAATCAGTTGCCTTGTGTGTCCACAACATTTTGACCACTGCAATGACAAATATTGTTGTCAGTAAGAGTTAATTATTCTGGCAATGCCTCTCTTCCTAAAGGGGATGTAAACTGGTAAGTTGCACTTGATCTGAGTGGCTCAACCAGCCAGAGTGTATCCCAGTTTCTGTAGCATGAAGTCCGTAAGTGTTGTTTCTCCTCAAGGTAAGGTGAAGTTTATTGCAGGTTTACCCCCTTCCCCACCTCTACCCACATTTATCAAGGATTTCCTGACAATTTGATGGTACACTTTGTTGGAGAGATCCACTGTAGGGGTAAAGTGTCTTGCCACAAATGCAAAGCCCAATGATCTGGCCCAGTCTGAAGTCTACACCTCTTGACCTGGAGTTCAATGTGCTAAGTTGGCTTGTTAGCTCGATTGGTAGAGCGCTGCACTAGTATCGCAGAGGTCAGTGGTTTGAATCCCGTACAGGCCTGACTTTTTTTTTTCGGGTCTGATTTTCGCTATTGCATAAACAGCCCTCTCTACTATGAGGATCGTGCATCATACGTATCTAATACCGCAGTTCAAAATATATGAACTTCATATATTCATTGTATCTAATGTGCTAAGTTTTACACCGCCAGTGTTTGCCACCCAAAGGGTATAAATAGGAACCAGTAAAACTGTCAGCTGAACTTTACAAAATACTTCAGAAGGGGATGGATTTGAGTCTGGACTTTAAGAAAAGTGATAATCCCAGTCATTTGACTTAACTTGTTGAAATTGATAGTAGCTATGGCAGCCAATTAAGTTAGTCTGTTCAGATGATTCTTAAACATTTGATACCAATGATACTAACCTCTTCGTTAAAAAGTTTGTTGACTTCATGCTTAATTGGATCAAGGAGCTGCACTTGTCCTGCAGAAAACCCAATCAACAATTCCAAACTATCAGCTGACCGCGTCAACAAATTGAAATCATGACATGTTGGGATTGTTCCTTTGTATAGCCGTTTATCTAGAGGCTTTGTAAGATCTGCAGCCTACAGGAAGAGAGAGAGAGGGAAAAAAAATAAATATGAAAAATAAAAAATTTATATCCCAGATCACATTGTAAGTGGATGCTTGTTGAAAGTTTACAATCAGCAAAAGCTGAAGGATCAGCACCACACAGTGCTCTAAGCTGTGACTGTTTTGCCAGCTATGGTGAGCAAAACTACCTGAAAAAATTAACATCAATGTTTAAGTTTGTCATTTGCAGTTTATGTCAAACTTTTACTCTTAATTTTGAATCACTGTTGTTAGTTTTGAGTTTGTTCTTCACCTTTTGACCTCTAAGAGTGACTGGCATCTAATTTCTCCCTACAATGTCACCCTTAAATCAAACATTTAAGGTCACAAGAAGAGACGAAATGATCACCAACTGAGGAAGCTCTTGATCATTAAACAAATTCTCATTGTCAGCACCTTCGGAAATGTATCCAGAATAGTTAACAACTATTCCCCAAAGTGGAGGTGGTTAGTGGTGGATATTTACCGAGCCGCAAAGCAGTGAGGTAAATATCCACTGCTAACCACCAACACTGAGGTTAATAATTGTTTTAGTATATACTAAAACAGTGAGATAATAGAGACCACCAAAAATTAATTTGAGTGATTTCTTCACTTGTCACGGATGCAAACCAGGATGCCATTTTTTCCCGAGTTGCTCGGAAATAAATAGCAAAGGATATTCGGAGTTTGACTGGCCAATCAGAGCGCACCTTCAATGCTATCCACTATTTTAGTATATACTAATATGGAATACATGCATAGTGATGTTAGGGTGAAAAGGGTTAACTATTAATATAACAATATTGCAAACTTTCATCTTTGCAGTACTGTCTATTTCTGTTAACGACAATTTTAGCACAGTTTGTCTGTAATACAATTCCAATAGCCCCAATTTTTTGGTTTTAGTCAAAATGCTTTTTATAATCAGGGGTCATTCTATCCAGTAAAACTCAATTTTTCTTTTTCATTAAAATTAACAAGGCTGTGGTCAAAAAAAATCAAAGAGAGCCCAGTGCTCTGAAACTGTGAAATCCAGGGTGCCCAGCATATGCTTTTTATGAAAAAACTAAGATTCCTGAGCCCAAGAGCAAAAGTGAGGCGCCAGGGGCCACCAGGTGCTGCTAAGCCACAGCTCTGAAATACCTCACCCCCACACCATACCATACCGACACTAAGGATCCTAAAATAACTAAGGAGAATGTGCTACCTTTCTGGTATACCAAGAAATGGATAGACATTCTATTCTTCTTGGATAAGGACAAAAAAACTGTAGGCCCCGTCCTCTGCACCTTCTCCATACAGGTTAGCAGGGGACATTAAAGAACCCACACACTTATTGCAAAGAGGAGAGAACATAGCTCCTGGTGTTGTGGTCTGGCCTATTTACTGAAATTGGGGTAGGGGTTATGGAAAGGTAATTTGCTAAGTAGGGGACAACCTTTTCCTTTTGTAATTTTATATGCGTTTGGAAAATTGTTAAATGCAATACAATGACACCACATTCTTGTACCTAACTTACTGTCGCAACTGGAAATTGTGCCTGATATAAGTTGTCATTGCATTTGACAATCAGGTGCAACATGCGCGTGACAAAAAGGAACTTTGAACTTTCCGAAAAGTACGAGTGGTTGTGAGAAAAGAAAAAGAGTATGAGTGGTTTTAAGTGAAAAAGGTTATTAAAAAAGTGTACAAAAAACATCGTGAGTTTCCTTTGTCCAGTGAAATCAAATTCCCGACATTACAAAGAAATATGTAGCAGCTAGATATAGGATATTGAGAGTTAAAAAGCTTTTTATGCCACAAAAAGTAAGAAGTCAAAAAGCAAGAACAGTCAAATCTGTATTCAGTCACCCATTTGGTTGACCAGCAAATGATCTTTGTGTATAATATTTGGCCAAACAGTCCAAAGAAGATAATCTGCAATGCACTGAGGACATTTGAACACTAGGTACTCTAACTGATCTTAGCAAATAAACATGAAAAAAAGTTTATTTGGGAGATTATTCTTCACATTTTTGGAGTGGTTCCACTTTAAGTGACTGATCAATACAGGTGGAAGACAATATAAACAAGCTGTTGGGACTCAGTCAAGGGTGACTGCGACCCTCTAATAGAAGTGAAAATAACAGTTACTGTACTTTAAGGGTAAAATTTCAAGACTTTGATTACTATCCACTTAATACAGAGTGACTGTTCAAATACTGAACTTCTTGATAAAGGTTTGACTGTAAAAGAAACACACTGAGAAGAGCTTCATATGATCATTTGTGAGTAAGATAAGGAAATATTGTTTAAATGTTTCAAAAAATTTTCATCAGCAACACGCCAACTGCTAATCTAGATGCTTGAGGCATCTCTATGTTAGCATCATTTTCAGCAACTTTCAAAACTGAATCTCCTTCATTTAAAAAAACCAGTTGTACATAGTCACACATTTCCATGCAACAGCATACAAAAATTTGGAATCAATCTCCTTTCCCTATTAGCAAGAATTATGTAATTCATAGCTGAGTCAACAATAGATAAAGTGATCAGTCGCCTCACTAAAACTACTTCTTTTGAAGTCATTTTGCTGCCGTGCATCAGCATACTTGGACACAACAATTCTGTTTTCACAGAGGGTTTCAAATTTATTTGTTACACCAGAGCTGTACTTTTGGCTAAAATTACCAAGAAATTTCATCTCAATGACAAGACAGTACCCTTTTGAGTTTCGTAGTGTAACCTTTAATATTTATTAACGCAACTCCTATAATGTTAACTGATTGAAAGTGCAAGGTTGCTCAAAAAAAAATAACACATGATTTGCATGACAATCTGGAGCTACAGGTATTTATGTCTTGTATGATTGCTTTTGAGCATGTTTAGACTAGTATTCAAGTCTTAAAAAAGACAAACATCTGCCCGGTATTTGATCGACTCAACTAAAAATAAATCCACTAACAACAAGATTTTCAAAAGCCTTGACACTTGGACAATAAATCATCCAAGTGACTGTCAAATTTTGATAAGATGGTCGACTTAGCTCATAGATGCATCAAAGAAAAATAGAAAGTGGTATTAAAAGGCGTCACGGAAAGTTGTCATCTCTACAAAACAAACCCAAAATAAAACCTTATAAATTAAACCTCTGTTTGTGACTGGTGTTATGAGTAAAAATTATTTTTGTCAGGCGCCCCAATCATCTAATGATATACAACCTATCCTCGTTTTTCAAATGGATCAGACGCCAAATAAATTAAATCCAAGGGTATTCATATTTAAACAACGTATTTTTCCTCAAAGGTATACACACGCTAACGGTATCTGATGTATGTATTTCTATCTAAATCATTTTTCTCAAAAGTGAAAGTTATAAAGAAAATAAATTCAATCGAAACTTAAGAAGTTCTCGCGGAAGATTTTCCCAGAAATTAAAATATATTGATGTCTGAGAATATTCTTCTCGAAGATTTGATCACATCAATATATACCGAATATTTTTGCTCGTGGCATCGTTACGATACAAGTTCGATGAGTAGGAATCAGAAAGTTTTCGCAAGTACATTCGAACATGGAACTGTAATCAATACCTAAATCTTGCAATGAAAGGCAAAGACTATAGAAGGAATATAAACATAAGCTAAACTAATTTTTCTCCACTTGCATTTAAACTAAGCAGTCACTATCACATTTACTAGTGTTTCAAGAGCCAAACGCAGCGACCGAATTTATAGTCACAACAAAAAAATAAACAACAAGTCTTGTGTAGAGACAATAACGTAAAAAGGGATTTCAGCTGTATAAATTATTAGATATTTGTCCGAAAACATTCAGGCGCGTTAGCTAAGATCACCGCAACAACACTGAAACAACAACAAAACGAAACCTGCCAGTGCGTGCAAGAAAACGGAAATTACACAGCATAGAAAAGCGTTCATTTAAGACCTCAAACATTATATTAATTTGATGAGCATTCTTCCCGATGCCCAAGCATCCCACCTACCTTTCTCACTCCTTTGTAGATGTAAAAGTACAGTTCTCTACCAACGTTGAACGCGATTCGCTCATTACAACCACCTTGGTCCTTTACTGTAACGAACGACACTCGCACTGGGTGACACTGTTGAGCCGAATAAGGGATTTTCGTGGGTCTCGAATAAACCGACAAATCCAGCAGTCGATAACAGCCCTCCTTAGTGGCAAAGTGTTGTTTAATTTCCTGGCCTGCAGCGCTTCTTCCAGCGGCCATTTTCACGTTCACATCTCTCACATCCCTTGTGACGGCTTGGTTGCTTGCTTTGCGGAGCTTTGCGCGGTTGCTTGAACGCATGCGTGCACCCGGGGAACCTGGATCCTTCTCCTGTTCTTTCGAGATAATCGGATCGAGTCGTCAAGTTATGCGGAGTGAGCTGCAATCGTCTATAGGGAATCTAATATCATTCTAACCACTAATCTTCAGGTCGGTTCTATACGTGGTTGGCCTTTTTTCGCTTCGAAAATTATTCAAAGCGAATTAATAAGAAGGAAAAATTTCCTAACTGCCATTCTCTCGTTCCAAGCCTCTTCATGTTTTGATGCTCCCGCCCAAGACCTTGACGCTGAATTATTTTAGTGACTCGCATATCCCTGCAAAGAAAAAAAAAAAAAAAAAGAAAAAGAAAAGGAAGAGTAAAAAAAGAGAGAATTGCCGTCGTATGAATCATTAACTTGAGAGAACGAGTTTTCAAAAGGAATCTGCTAGGAAATATAAATTTGTTCATACTCACAACAATCTCGTTGATTATAAATTTTGTCCTCTTTCTTTGACTTCCGCATATTTCCGACAAAAAAAAGTGGATATTCGGAGGCACAGGGATGACTTTAAATGAAATCATTGTAAACAAACTTTTTGTTTGTCAGTAGATTTCTTCTCTTGTAGAAATTAAAAAGAGGATAGTTTGCGGAACTGATTCGATAAATCAAAACATAGATTTTTCACGAATCCTCACATATTTAGCTTGGTAACTTGCGGCCTTTAAACCGTTATGAGTGCAACCAGGTGGTTGGAGCCGGCGATAATGGTTTACTTTTTATATATATATACCTTAAGTTCAACCGTTAAAGTTTATTTTTTATCTACAATAGTTGAGGTTCTACCCGAACTCGCGGAGAATTACTGGACTTTTTCCTTGTCTATAATACCTTTTCTCAATGCTCGAGCCTTGGGAGAATTCTCATTCGTTATCCAACCCGAAACGCCGTCGAAGGTCCGTGTGACTGACTCTATTGCTTAACCTTTAACACTCTAGCATCGGTAAGCATATTCTCCACACATTTCTCTAAACATTTCCTAAGTTGCCGACAAGGAGAATTTGCTTAACAATCAAGAGCTTCTCAGTTAGTTGGTGATCTTTTCTTTATGCTCATGATTAAAAGGTGATTTTGTAACTGAAGAGATATTAGATACTAGTCACTTAATACTATGTCTTTAATTATTTGTTATCATATTATCATACAGAATCTATGAACTTTCATACTTTTTTGTTCTTTTTTCTTTTTGACAAACGCGGTCATGTGTCATGGCCAATCTTTCGAAATCTTTCTAAAGCACGTCAGGAATGGCAAGCTGTATGACCACGTTAGACTTCGTAAAAAATGCTCGTAATTTTTATTTCTATCGGTCAACGCTGAATACGTGTTTCGCTGAGTGCGATCATTAAAATAACTTTGTAAACAATAGCCACGAAAACTTTCTATGAAGACGCTTGATGATAGGTAAAGCCTCCATATTAGGTAAAGCATCCATATTAGGTAAAGCATCCATATTAGGTTCAGGAGACGTCCCAAACATTACATTTAAGCTTCATGCATGGCCTACGATATGTCCTAGTTAACTTTGTTCTACCACGATTACCCTCATCTACTCAGAGTTCACCATGTTCTACCAGTTAGCCCCGATCTACTCTAGGTTAGCCATGTTCTAAAACGTTTACCTTCATCTACCTTAAGTTAGCCATATTCTACCACGTTAACCCCCATCTACCCTAAGCTACCCATGTTCTACCACGTTAGCCCTCGTGTATCCTAAGTTACTCATGTTGTAACACGTTAACTCTCATATACCCTAAGTTATCCATGTTCTACCACGTAAGCCCCCATCTACCCTACATTACCCATGTTCTACCACGATGGCCCGCATGTACCCTATGTTACTCATGTTCTACCACGTTAACCACCATCTACCCTAAATTCGCCATGTTCTACCACGTTAGATTCCATCTACCCTAACTTAGTTATGTTTTTCAACGTTAGCTCCCATATACCCTAAGTTACCCATGTTCTGCCGCGTTAGCCCCCATCTACCCTAAGTTACCAATGTTCTACCACGTTAGCCCCCATCTACCCTACGTTACCCATGTTCTGCCACGTTAGACCCCATCTAGCCTAAGTTACCCCTGTTCTACCACGTTTACCCCCATCTACCCGAAGTTACCCATATTCTACCACGTTCACCCCCATCTACCCTAAGTTAGGCGCGTCCTTTCACGCTCACCTTCATAAATTCTGAGGGATGACATTGATAGATATATGATTAATGGCCTATTATTTATCGAAGCAAAGATAATTTTTGGCGCAATGGACCGTGAAGTGTTTTGCTCAAGAAATAGGAGTGCTACGGGTTTTACGACCTCCTCTCAACCTACTCTATTGGTGGCTTGCAAATATTCAAGCTTTATATTTAAACTATCAGCCACAAGAGTCTCATTGCATGACATTGAAAATTAACGTTTGGGTAATTGTCAACTGAACAAGATATTCTTAGGACTAGCAAAATTGAAATATAGTTCATCATTCGATTCGTCATTAGAGATATCGGAGTATAGCTTCCTGGTTAGTTTTAAGCTGTACTTTGTTCATGCTGTTCATATAAACTTAATTAATCCTATCTTTTCACCCTCTACATGTCCGTTCCGTCTCCCCTTTTCAGCGTAAGATCGCTCGTTTATCGTTTTATTATTTGAAAATTCTTGAAGTAACCATGTGCTAGGAGTGTCATGAGTTCTAAGTCATTTGGGATGTGACAGACAATATAAGGGACTAGAAATTCAATTAATAAAGCACTTACAAAAGGAATTGATTCATTTGATATAGGGGGAAAATGATACCGTACTCAGGTGTATTTCGTAAAAGTTTGGCCGATAAGAAACCTTGGGAAGGGTGATGGGATTCTTAACGATATATTATAAATCCCTCTTCGACTATTTATGTGGTTAGTTTGCACAAGAGAGAAACATCCCTTGTACCACGACAATGTAAAGTTACAAAATAAAGTATTGCAAGGTTTTATTATTTCAGTTATCGTTTCTGAGTGAAGGCAATGTAAGAAGGTTTGGAGTGATCATCTCTCAGGAAAAATTAAATCACCTAAACTGAAGTACTAGCTAATAGAGAAAACTATTTAACTACAGGAAACTACTAATATAAGCCGGCCAGATTTCTTTTTCTTTTTTATTAAGGAAATTTCACCACCAATCAGAACTGTCAATCAGATCGATCATTTCTCAGGCGGTACCATATATTATGGTAAATATGGGTAAACATTCGAAAAAACCATAGATTTAGAGACGTATTCACCAACAAATCGACCGGTTTCGCCGGTCTCTTACGACAGATGTCAAGCATTCTAAGATCTATTACGATTTGACTACACCAACACTGATTTCGACTTTGAAATTCATCATTTCTCTTATAACCGATACCACTATCTCGGTTAACAACTTTTTGGATCTACCGCTGGTAGGTTTGGGGTAAAGGTTAACAATTCTACTCTTTCATTCGAGAAACTTAATTAAAAATTAATGAAAATTTCTTATTGTTGTTCACACCTACTTTTTTTCTGTAGAGAAAGACCAGCTCATCTACAAATAAAGAAAGATCGGCACTAACTTGGATACTTTGTTTATTCGCGAGCTGTGAAGTAGTTCAAATTTTACATTAGCGTTTACAGCTATTGTGAATTACTGACTACAGCAAGCACTTGTTACTATTTTTGAAAATTTTGCGTCATAGCGATTGTTCTATCTTTTCACCAGAATGTTGTTTAGAAAGTGTAACCAAGCCCAAAATATTTTTCTTTTCAATAAATACTTGCACACACTCGAAAATTGTCAGTTTTCCCTTTTCATTAAATCTTTGCCTTATAGCTCGCGAAAAACTATTCTTCACTTCCCAAGGGGTGTATTAAACCAGCATTTAAACATGTTAAAACATTGCTTTGAGCAGTGTTTGTAACTAGACACATTAACGTCCATACACGTCTCTAACGTTCCTAACCTTAACCCAGTAAACCCAGGGTAGATGAGGTTTAACGTGGTAAAACGGCATGGGTAACTTAGAATAGACGATAGATAACGTAGTAGAACGGCATGGGTAACTTAGAATAGACGATAGATAACGTGGTAGAACGGCATGGGTAACTTAGAATAAACGATAGATAACGTGGTAGAACGGCATGGGTAACTTAAAATAGACGATAGATAACGTGGTAGAACATGGTTAACTTGAGGTAGACGGATAAGAGTTAGCGCTGTATAACCATAATGGGTAAATTCGGGTTAACGTGCTAGAATAAAGTTAGCTTGGGGTGGACGAGGGTCAACGTGGTAGAACATGGGTAACTGAGGGTAGATGGGGACTATCGTGGTAGAACATGGGCAACTTAGGTAGATGCGGGTAAACGTGGTAGAAAATGGCTAAATAAGCATAGAACGTGGTAGAACATTACTAACTTAGGGTAGAAGGAGGTTAACGTGGGAGAACATGGCTAACATAGGGTAGGTGGGGGTTAATGTGGTAGAACAAGGCTAACTTAGCGTGGACAGGGGTTAATGTAGTAGAAAATGAGTAACTTAAGGCAGATGATGGTTAACGTAGTAGAACATGAGTAACTCAGAGTAGATGAGGGTGAACGTGGTAGAACATGGGCAACTTAGGGTAAATGCGGGTTAACAAGGTAGAACATGGGTAACTTAGTGTAGATGGGGGCTAACGTGGTAGAACATGGCTAGCTTGGGGTAGATGGGGTTAACGTGCTAGAACGTGGGTAATTAGGGGTAGATGGGGGCTAACATGGTAGAACCTGCTTACCTTAGGTAGATGCAAGTAAATGTGGTAGAACATGGCTAGCTAAGGACAGAACGTGGTAGAACATAGGGTAACTTAGGGTAGATGGGAGCTAACGTAATAGAACGTGGGTAACTTAGGGTACATGGCGGCTAATGTGGTAGAAGTTGGGTAACTTAGGGTAGATGGGGGCTA